ATACAAGGTTGTACTTGAAAGTCGGCTGAGGCACCAAGTCAGTGCCCTGTCACGAAAATATGTCATGGACTGTGATTCAAGACAGGGAAATCAGAGGCTTCTGGGAGGTATGGCAGGGCTGCCTCTCACCAGCACACCCCAAGTGTCAGTGACTCTAAGGAATGATAGGCCCCTGTCACTTTCCTGCAAACATCAGAAGTCCCTGATCTCTGAAATGTGAGAAAAGCCGGGATACTGATGTCTGCTGCAGAGAGAAAGCCCAGGAGGTTGGCAAATCTTTCCATTAAAAGAATGAAGTCTCTGGGGAGTGGAGAATGTGAAGTGCTTCCTGCCCCTGGTGAAAACCTGAGTGCATTACCCAGTACACACTTAAAAAATAGGGTATACGGGCAGGTATGTTGAATCTCAGCACCTCAGTGAGAGGCAAGGAAGAATAAAAAGTCCTGCCTAGCCCGTCATTCTAGCACAATCAGTGAGCCGCAGGTCCAGAGGTCCTGTTTCAAAAAATAGAGAAGGAATAACTGAAGTAGATAACAGATTCTGACTTATGACATCTCTGCACACCTGTGCACGTGCATGCGTGTGCACACACACACACACACACACACCACACACCACACACACGGTTCCCTCTCTCTCTCTCTCACACACACAGACACACAAAGACACACACAGACACACACAGATACACATGTCTCTCTGTGTCTATCTCTCTGTCTCTCTCTGTTTCTCTGTCTCTGTCTCTCTCTCACACACACACATACAGAGAGACAGAGAGAGAGAGAGGGAGGGAGGGAGGGAGAGAGAGAGGGAGAGAGCGAGAGAGGAAGAGAGAGTTCTTTGAAATCAGGCTATCTCCAGGGTCACAACATTTCCAACCCCTTCTTTGGCTGCAAAGCACACATCAGCATTGTGAGTGAGCAAAGAACAAGGTAGAGGAGAAAACACTGGAACCCGGCCCCACCCACAGTATCCTAGAGAGGTCAGGGAGTATGGGGGGGGGGCAATCAGAGACACAGAGACAGAGTGTCATCAGGGGTCTGTTGTGCTGTCCGGGTGTGTGGGGTCCCCGCATTGATTGCAAGGCTGGGCGTGGCTAGCTAATACTCCACCCATCGCTGGGGACGTTCCAGAGAGGCACCCCCACGGGACTCCTCTGCACTTGGGCACAGGCCAGAGAAGGCTAGGCCTGGCCTGAAACTAACAGGAATTGTCGAGCCGATCGAGACATCTGCACCGTCAAGCACGGACGTGATCATTTATTTATTTCGGGGCGGTGGGGATAAACATGCATGCTGTGAGGACCTTTCAAGCCCCACAGTGTCTCCCAGATGGTCATCTTTTGGAGGCGGAGCTGCAGGGGTGATGGCTGAAAGGAGGAAGCTCCCTTCTAAGGAGTGGGCGCAGAGGGGTCCCTGGCAGCCCAAATCCTGGCTGCTGACCTCTTCCTGGCCACCTTTAGGATGGTCTTATCAAAGAGCTCTTTCTCACGATGGTGCACGGGTGGGCCACGCAGGTACTTCTCTTCTGCCTCCTTGTAGCTGAGCTCATCCAGGGCAGCGATGGAGCAGATGATAGCTTCTGGAAGAAGAACCTCCATGGTAAGTCGGACTTTGTCCCCTCTTGCCAGGGACAGCAGGGCCTCATCTGCTTCCTTGGATATCTCTTGCAAATGTCTGGCCACAAGATGCAACTGGTCCTCATCTTCCAGGTAGGTCTCAATGCAGAAGACTTCCCTGTTTGACTTCCAAAGGTTATCCAGCCACCTGGACGGTTTCCTGCCCTTTACGATGTCCAGCAGGTGCTGGTCTGCCCCTTTCTCTTCAGGATGAAGTCTACGAGCTTCCGGTTGGCTCTGTCCCAAGCGGCCCTCATGCGGTCAGGCAGGAGTTTCTTGCGGGGCCCCTTCCCACCCAGGGAGGTCTCCTCCTCCCAGTCTTCCAGGTCAGCATAGCTCACCTTGGGGAAATCAATGTGCAGCTCGCCCTCTTGGATGGCTCTCCTTAGCGGGTAACTGGCTTGGGCGGTGTAGTAGTCCATAAAGGAGCCCAGGAAGGAGCCGCAGGCGAGGTCCTCTCTGTAGTGGTCGATCACTGACAGGCACCAGTTGATGCCCTGGCCATACACTCTGCTGGCTCTCCTCAAGAGCACTGATTTCTCCCCACAGTCCAGGGGCTTCAGCTTGCGGAGAGGGACTCGGATGCCCCTGTGCTCAAGCTGCATGTTGCCCTCGACCAACAGCACCCTCGCCATCTTGTCGTTTTTGCTGACACTCTTGACCACCGCTGGCCAGAAAGGAAGGTCCTGGAATTTGAACCAGACCAGCATGCCTCGTTCGATGGCATTTGGCCCCTGGGCACAAGTCACGTTGGTGGCTTGGCAGACTTCTTGAACTCCAGTCACTCTCCTCTTGACCCTGGTGCCAGTCACCTTTGAGTGCACTGGAATGTTCAGTTCCGGGAGCATGCACTGTGCACACCGTACATGCACCTTCCTTTTCCGGCAAGCAATGCGGAGTGATCTTCGCAGCCTCGGGACCGGGGCGTGCAGGCTGCCGATGCCCCTTTGAGTCTGGCTTTGGAGTCCCAGGGCCGGGGTCCTGCTCGTTCCCTGGGAGGGTGGTCTTCTTTTGGGCTCCCATAGCCCTGGTCTCCAGGCCGCCATGCCGTACTTGGTGCCGGAGAGCTTTGGGTGAGGTAGAGGCCTGCCTGGGTGGCCCAGAGGCAGCCTGCTGCTCATTTTTAGCTCGGGCCCTCCCCCTGGAGGCTGGGGCGCTGAAAGACCTGAGCTTGGATGCCCTCAGCTTCCTCCTGCCCGGATGGTCACCAGCATTTCCTGCTGGTGGCTTGGAGGAACTTGGCCACACTCTAGTGCCTCTTAACAAGTTCCCTTGCGTTTCAAAGTGAGGGAGCCCAACAGCAGTGTGTGCCTGGGCTTTCCCCCCTTGCACTGCAGGCTCATTCTGTGAGCCCACCCACACAGGTCCCAGGCGGCCCCGCTTCCCAGGACTCCTGTGGGAGAGCCCCTGGCCTTTCTGGTTGTGCTCTTGGAGGTGCAGGCGCTGGCGTGAGCTGGAGCTGGCCTGCTCTCTTGGAACCTTCAGAGTCACTGTGCTGTTTCTTCTTCGGCCACGCGCCCTTCCTCCTTGATACAAGCAGGTTCCCTTGCCCAGAACGTCTAGCGCCACCTTGAGGGCTCTTCTGTATGCCCTGGTCTGCCGTGGCGAGCCATTGCCCTGTGACTCCTTTCCTGCCACGGAGGCGATGGTCACAATTTCCGACTCGGTTAGGGGCCTCACCTCTGTGCTCCTCACTCTCGTCTTCTCCCCCACAGGCAGAATCTGGACCTCCAGGAAAGATGCCCCTCTCCTCTTACTGTGGGCTGAGGTCCTGGGTCTGGATAACACCCTCGCAGGCCACAGGTGGCCCTTCCAGCCACAGAGCACATACTCTGCAGAGTCCATGGTGACGGGACTCTGGAGCTGTGCTGCTCAGGACAGGGTCGCTCCCTTGCTTGTGGTGGGCGCCTTGACTGCTGGTCGTCTGTGGCCTGGTCACCCTGCCCGTAGGTCTATCCTCCCTCCAGAATATGTTAGACAAGCTTGAATTGACGTCCTAGCTCAGGGTGATGTGGGCGTGTCCTGTAGCTGGGAAGAGGGAAGCAGAGCTGCATCAGGAGGGAATTAGCCTTCAGAGGACACAGAAGCAACAGCTCAGTGAGGTGAGGAGAGAGAAAGCAAGGGAGTACACAAAGTCTCATCTACAGAAGCGAGGATATGTGTGGGAGAAGATATGGAAGGATCCAGAGCAGGTTCCCCACCCTGAGGCTGAGTTGGTAATCTTCCTCCTGGAGAGGTGAGTGTCCTAACTTACATGGCCTGTGTGTTTTCTTGCCCATCCCGTACCTTGGGGCACCCTGGGATTATCTCGGGGAGTGGGGGAGCCTCACCGTTCTCTTTCCTAGGGAGCTAATCCCGCTCTGCCCCATCCCAGGAAGCACGAGGACACCTAGAGCACCGGTGCCTTCCACACCAGTGAGATAGATACCAGGATGGGGAGCAAGTGGGTGAGGAAATCTTCATGGTGACACACGCAACAGGGCAAGTAAGGATGGTTGCTGTCACTGTCAGAGCTTCCGGCCCCCCCACCCCCACCCCTCCAGGCCCCCATAACGTGGTTCAGATCTCTCGTTCCAAACTCCATCCTCCTGGACCTCGCTGTGGGATCGTGTGTCCGCATGGCCCAAAGGAGAGTCCCCTCCCCAAAAGAGAAAGCACCTCACTGTGGAGAAATGCTTACCGATTGGCACACCCGGGGGACTCAGATGGAGAGCGACAGGGTAAGTGTCTCTGTTGGAATTGCCCATCCTCCTGCTGCCACCTCAAGCCCGTAGACCCGACACACCCATATCTGTCGGTGATGGGCAAAGTTCTACCAACAGATCCCGGGCCACAGAACTCTCCCGCACCACAACCTCTGCGCCCTAACGTTAATCTCCAAAGTCTTAAGACAGTCGGGAAATCAAAGCAGCTGCTTGATGACCTGGATCGTCGCCACTTGCCCATCCCCAAGTCCAGAGGCCATGCTTTGAAGCGGGGGTGGTGCCCAATCTCATCTGTAGAGTAGCTCTCCTGTTCATGTTCCCCCATGCCCTGCCTCTCCACATAGTTCCTTCCCCTTGGGCTCCTCGGTGGAATCCCATCCCTTTCTTCTCCTCACGGTGACTGGATGTGTGCCCGCGGTCTACTCCTTTCCTTGGGCCCATGGTTTCCTATCAGCAGTGAGCATGCCATGCATGCCTGCGGGACCAAAGCCCACTTCTGTCTGATCCTCAAAAGAGGCCCCCTGTGCTTGCAGAGAAGGACCGCAGACTTTGAAGGACCACAACACAGGAGAACCACAAAGGGCTCATGCGCCACAGCTGCTCACAGTTCATGCCAGGATGCAGGTGGTTCCTGTCATTACCTGGGCCACCACCAGGCCCAGTGAGGCAGAACACTGTGGACTCTGGGCTCCTGACACAGCTCCCTAAGGACACTGATCTTCTTGGGGACTCCCAAGAAGTTACCCCACACCCCTCCTGTGAGCGTGGGCACACCGAGCTCTCCCTTAGGGACTCCAGTCCTGACCCATAGGAATTCCCAACCGTATGGAAATATGGGAGGCAGATGATGTTCATACCATTACCTCGGTCGTCCCCTTCCCACGCTCTGTATCCATACACCCCACTGGTACATCCTAGCTCCCTGTTTACTGTGCAAATGTGCGGTGTCCCTTCTTCCGTATTCCCATTCAAGCCTTACTGACTTCAAATCTGATTTCACAGCGCACAACGTGGCTGTCTACATGAAGGAGTCCAGGTCTGTCCCAGGCCACTCCTGCTCGGTGCTGCAATAGTAAATGTGTACTGTGGAAGTCTGCGGCCCAGTGTAGGGATCTCCTGCAGTGATTGTCACTCTGAGGAATCTCTGTGACCTTAAAGGGTTGGCCTCCTCTGATCCAGCCCCCTTGGAGTCCTGGGCCACAGCTGTCTCCTGAGGACACCGGGGAAAACATAGGCGCCTCAGTTACTTCAGGCTGCCTTCTGCTGGACCTTCTCAGAACATGCCTTCCAGCAAGGCTGAACGAGCACCATCAAACCCAACTATGCCCCCATATCCATGCACCACGCCTCGGGCACGAGAGAGTCCGCCCCTCACTCAGCGCCCTTAGAAACCACAGATGCCCGAGTTACGCTTATAGAACGCAAGCTTTCCACCCCAGGCAGGTCTGCACGGGCTTCTATTGCCTCAAGCATGATGTCCTCAGCCTCACACACTCCCTGAGCTAGAAAACATACCTGGGAATGCCAAGTATGTGTTCAAGCCCACAAGCCCAGGGCATCCGCACAGCATCTGTAACTCAGTCATGAAGAAAAGTGTCTGCACTCAGATCAGGCCACACTCTCCCCAGTGTGCGTAATCCATGTGGGCATGCCTGTTGCTCCAGGGCATAGAAAAGTCCTAGCATTATCTACAGCCTGCTTAAACATTGTCAGTAGTGCCACCTGCCTCCATCGTTTCAGGCATCACCTCCAGTGCAGTAGCTTCAGCAGTTACCTTTCGGGTGAAAACAGCACTGTCTTACCCAGAGGTGCAGGGAAAAGTGGGCAAGATGGGATCCTGAAATCTCTGTCTCAGCACATGCTTCGGCCCCGTGTCCGAAGGCCTTCTATCAAGAACTTGCACGCAGCCCCCGTGTTCCAGGTTAATTCACATTTTCTCCAGATGGGAACTTGCAGGTGGCTTCCCTCCCTGTGGTAAGACAGACGGGGCGGGGGGGGGAGAGGGAACAGTCTGGTGAGAGGGTGCATGAAGGGTACAAAGATCATTGCTCACTCACGGGGCCAGAGATACACAGAGAGTCCCATATGATGTGCTGGTGGGTCAGAGAGAAACCCCAGCCGCTCATCCCGTAATGCCCAGCTAGCTGAGGTTTGACCCAACCGTGAGTGAGTAAAGATTCACACCCTGACACAAACTGATAGCTGTCGAGGGAACACATTCTGCTCCTTCCTCAGGCATTCACTGATTTTACCTCAGTCTGCCCAGCTGAGATTAGTGACCAGTTTAGAGGCAGCCCTCTTTTGGACGCACGTCTTGTCAGGTCTCCAGGCCAAGAGACTGGAGACCTTACCTTGGCTTCATCCCTGCAAGTGAACTGGCCATGCTCGAGCCCGGGTCTCCCCCCAAACCCCCCTCCCCGCCGTTTACCTCCTCCTTAGATGCCTTCAGGCTCCTCCCAGACAACACAAGCCACAACTATCTCGGGTAAGGTGCTGTCACACGAAAACGGTCAGGAGCACATGTGACAATCGTCGCCAAACAGAGACGAGGCATCCATTTACGTGGGTTGGTGATCTATGCTCTCGGGGCCTGAAACGATAAAGCTGGCACCAGAGAGGTGTCACCTGAGGACAAAGAGACAGGGCTGGCTGAGCAGCCAGCCCTTGGGGCTTCGCTTCAAACAGTAGTAGTGAGAACCTCTCCTGTCCCATGAAAGAGCAAGCACGCTCCCGAGGCACACTCACAGGCTCAGCTCACACTCACTCAGGCTGGCTGCAGGCACCTACCTACGCGCTTTGCCTGTCTGCCTAGCGACTCCACCTCTCCGGTCTGAGTATCCGGTCTGAGTATCCTTCACAAATGTATCTGTAACCAGGAAAGAATGGCTTGTCCCCGTTGTCATGGCAACCACAGTGTCATCGGGAAAAAAAAAACAACATTCTCTCCTAGTAGCCAGTTCTCTGTGGAAATCAGGACGTACTAATCCACCCAGGAGGCTGACTGTTCTCTTACATCTCTGTCACCTAGCTCCCCCCACACCTCCGCCAATCCCCGGCAACGGCATGCACAAAAGAAAGTAAGCATCCACACACATACTACAGAAGGTGATGCTGACATTCCAGGGCCCAGGGGGCCTTGGTGCAGGGGCTTTGACCACAGAGTGTCTGGGAGAAGGCAAGGCAAGAGGAGACAGAGTCCTTTCTGCCGTCTTCATACAATTATACCAGGCAGCAGGGGCCAGATGTGAGAAGAACACTTTTTCACCTGCCAGAATTCTGAAGGCAGGCAGGTTGTTCCTCCAGATGCAAATTAAGTGTTTTAGGTCACTTGGCAGAAAATAGGGAGGACCGTAGACCTGCGGGAATTCAGGTGACAACGTCATCAAATAAGGAAATAAATAAATATAAAGTAAATAAATTAATAAATCTCAAAACTCGAGGAGGAAGGATAGAGAGCAAATTTCAACTGGCGGGAGGCTGGGGAAACCTCAAAATCCACCCACAGTAGCATATGTCCTCCCTCAGTGCCACATGCCCCGACAACCCCAAACAGTGCCATCTATTAGGAAACAAGGATTCAAAAACCTCAGGCTGTGGAAGATATCTCATTCAAATCAACACACACACACACACACACACACACACACACACACACGCGCACGCACGCACACACACACACACACACATGCACACACACACACACACACACACACACACACACGGGGGGGGCACGACTGTGTTCCTTTAAGCTGCCTCAAGGCATGTCTACTACTCCAGGCATCCTCCCTGCATCTAGTATGATGCTTTCTCATCCGATCAGATGACACCATTTTGGAAAGTTCGCCTCTTCAGGGTTTTTCTGCTTTTCTCACGGCACATACATGGATCCTTACAGAGTATGCATTTTGCCTGACTGCTTTCTCTTAAAATACTGCCAGCGTTCATGGAGTGGCAGTACATTCCTTCTCAGGACTGAGTAGCATTGTGTTGTGCTGATGTACTATGCCCGGTATATCTCTTTTTCATGAGGAGGTATTGTGGGACTTCCCCACTGTGAGTAAGGCTGCCATGAGCTTTGGCATACCTACATTTGCTCAAATGCTTCTAGTCAGGCAATAGGCCCATACCTAGGGATGGAGTGACTGTGTGATGGGCTGATGGAACATTACCCGTTTTGATGAACACAAAGGTGCTCCCCACGGTAGATACAGCATTGCAAATCTCCACAGCAGCAAGGCCTTGGGATTCTTCCTATGATTAACAGTAGTCCTCAGTTTCCTTCCAAAATAGTCGAGTAACTTGTGTGTGTGTATGAGTGTGTCTGCATGTGTGTGTGCATATGTCTGCATGTGTCTGCATACGTGTCTGTGCATGTGTGTGTGTGTGTGTGTGTGTTAGTGGGGAGTGTGAACTTCACTGCTGTCAAATTATGTCTGTTGCATTCCCTAAGATCAGATATCATGGAACTTGTGTCCCGATTGGGCTTCATGCATGCCCAGATGATGTGGTGGCAAGGCATGGTCATTGCAGATCCAGAGTCCTTGGGGAGGACAGTAGGACCATGAAGTGTCAGGGCCCAAGCTGAACAGTACAGTGACAGCCAGGAGTCTCACTCCTCCTTTGTGTGGGACAAAGGTCCTGAAGGCAACCAGAAACCGGGCCCTGGATACTACAGGCCTAAAAAGGCCAGGCTGGAGACTGTGCAGTGGACAGGGGACTAGGGACCTCCTGTTCTGCCCCTTGTGTACTTTTGCAGTCATCACTGGACACCTGGATTCTCCAGAGAAGCAGCCATGAGTGGTACTCAGACAGGAGGGGCACAACCACAGACGTGAGTCAAGCGTGAACAGCTACAAGCCCTAAGTTACACTCGAGTGGCTGCTGGATGGGTGTCCCTTAGGAGCACTTTCAGCTAGTGTCACGCATGCTTGCCGGCTTCTCTAGAGAGGCCAGCACCCTTAGTTTCCAGAAGTGAGGACGAACCCTGGGAAAGGAGGACCTCTGGTGACTGTCATGAAGCATGTCTATGGGTGAGTGACTATGTGTTAGGGCCCATGAGGTGATGTCATGGGCCTCACTTCCACCCTGGGGTGGACAAGGGCCAAAAGGGCTTCCTGGGCAAGCTTTGTGAAGGTGTTAGGGACCCCAAGGAGTGGGCAGGACTGCGTGTGTGCTCCCGCAGAGACGAGGAACCTTTCACATGGCCCTTCCAGTACCCTCCGGGTAGCCCTGCCGTTCTGCACAGGTCTATACTTCTGTACGCTGGCGCACCGCAAGCAGGGGGCAGAGGTGTTCCTGGCACTTTCAGCCCTTCCTAGGTGAGTTCCCAGCTTATGCATGCACAACCACAACCGTAAGCTCCAAGTCAAGTATGTGTTATTACGGGGTGGGCCTCAAGATGGCGAGGCTCACCCACGCAGACATGGTTTCCCACAGAGGTATGCAGCACTTTCTGCAAAGTGAGGTGAGGCATACCTGGGATGCCCCTGGGGGACCAAGAGGGTCTCAGGATGGTGGTGAGCTGTGTCGTCCCTCTAGGTGAGTGACTAGGTATTGGGGTCCCAGGATAGTCCCAGAGGTGACGACATCTGCAGCCCGAATTCCACCGTGGCGTGGGGGAGGCCAGGAAGGGCCCTGTGGGAAAGCTTTGATAGGAAGCAGGGATGGAGAAGGGTGGGCAGGACAGGGCAGCACGTGTGCTCATAGCAGGATCAGGGCCCGGCCCCGTGTGGCCCTTTCCGAAGCCTTTGGGCAGAGGAGACATTTGTGCGGGCCCACACGGCCACAGTCGGGCCCGTTTGAAACAAGAGTCTGGGCGTTTCAGGTCCTCCGGGGCCTTCAAGAGTAATTTCCTGTCCACGCCTGCGCAGTGGCAGCTGGGCTGAGGCGAGGCAAAGGATTGGACAGGCGCGCACGCATGCGCCCTTGCGCATGTTCGCGTATTTTCCGGAAGTGAGGACTAACTAGCTGTGAGCACCGTCGAGGGGAAGCAGAGTTTCGGGCCGCCGTCCTGAGACCTGCTCCTCTAGGTGAGTGGCGAGGTATTAGGACTCAGGATGTTCCCTGGGGTGATGTCTGGCTCCTAAGTTCCACACTGAGTGGCCTAGGCCCCAGGAGGGAAGTCTAGGAAGGCTTCCTGAGGGACTAGGGACAGAGGAGGGCACCAAGCAGCACGCACGCACGGAGCACGACTGGGGACCTTCCACATGGCCCTTTCTCAGATCTTTGGGTACTTCAGATGTTCTCTCGGTCCACATGCCCACGGGTGGGCCTGTTTGAAAGAGGGGTGCGGGTCCTCGCAAGCCTCAAGACCGCGGTGTCTCGCATGCACATGCGCAGCCCGAACACCCAAGTCACGCATGCCTGAGTGCCAGGTGGGCCTCGGCAAGGTGGCGGCGGGGGGGTGGGGGCGGGGGTGGGGTGGGGTGGGGGGGTGTTGAGCTGGCAGGGTTCACACATGCACAAACGCTTTCCACTGAGGCGGAACACTTCCGGAAGTGAGGTCGCTGCAGCCGGGACTACCCTCGAGGGTGAGAGTGGTTTGTGGGGGCGGCGGTTGCTGTGAGATGCATTCTCCTAGCTGAGCAGACAGGTATTGGAAGCCGCCTGAGTGCATGAAGTGACTTCCGGAGCCTGAATCATCTGTCGAGTTGGAAAAGGCCCGGGAGGGAGGGCAGCCTGGGAAAGGGTTGTCAGGGCCACAGGGGCTGAGAGGAGTGGGCAGGACGGCCTGTGTGCTGCTGGAGTGTCTAGGGACCTTCTGGCCATACTGCAGACATTCTTCCCGGCCCATATTTCCCCAGGTGGGACCAGTTAAAAGAGGGTTGTGGGTGTTGCAGTACATTCTCGGCCTGACTTGTGCAGTTTCTGGTACACGCGGTTTCAGGTTCTCGAAAGTTTCAGTGCATGCAGACACAGACTCAATTCCCACCCCTGCCCAGCCGCCGCCTCCTCCGCCTCTGTGGCCTCCACCGCCCTGCCTCTCACTCAGTCAGAAGCCTGCTTTGCCAGATGGAGCGATGCTTACTTTCTGGGAAGTCTGGCTAGGTGTGACCCACCTTGGCGGGTAGGGAGGGTCTCTGGGGATCACTGTGAATCCAGGCCACCTAGGTCTGTGACGAGGCATGGGGACCCAGGATAGCCCATGATGTCCAGAGCCTCACTCCCGAAGGCCAGATTGAGCAACCGGCAAAGCCGTGTTGGGGCTGCAGGGCCCTAGGGTTAGGTGAGTGTGCAGAACAGTTTTGCCCGCTGGGGTAGGGACCTTCCAGGAGGCACATTCGGTACTCCTTGGGTACTTTGCAGACTGGTCCCGGGAGAGAGCTAGGTAGGCAGGCTCGCTGAACAGGGATGGTGCTCCGAGCCTTTCCTGTCCTTAATAGTGCAGGCCCCATTTCAGGTGCGTTCGGGTGCAAGTCCCGAGTCCCTCCGAGCCATGGTTTCTGGGTGGGACAAGGTTAGCTAGGTGTTCTGGGAAAGGAAATCCAGTCTCCTCCAGGCCCTGTTACTGGGGTTCCCAGCTCAGCCATGTACACCACCTGCAAGACCAAGTCAGTCCCGCGTCTCACCCTTCAGCACCCTGGAGCAGGTTCACACATGCCTGCATGCTGCTCCTCCTAACCAGGAATCATGCCATTCAGGGAAAGGGGGCCTACTCAGGTGGGACAAGCCTCCCAGGGGAAGAAAGCTCTCAGGGGAAAGTGGCTGAAGCGTGATCACCTAACCTGAGTGGGTCCCTGTTCTGAGGTTCTGGTGGTCAAAAAATCAGAGCCAGCCTGGATCCACAGTGCTGGGTGGTGGCACAGAATGGGACCCCAGGGTGTCGCGGACCTCCCTGGTTGTGTTCATTTCTGCAAGCCTCCCTTCTGCAAGGGGCCAGACAGAATCCCAGGCTCCGCAGGTACTAGAAG